AGCTTAGGGAGGACCTACACCATTCACGGAGAAGGATCTCTATCTCCTTTGATCTCTGGACTTCACCAAACCCTTACGCTATCCTAGGCGTCGTCGCTATGTGGATTGATACTACCGGCATGCGACGTGTTACCGCTTTAGGTATGCGACGTATATACGGCGAACATACTGGAGAGAATCTTGGATCGGTGGTCCTTGAATTGCTGGAAGAATACGACATTAGCGGAGATCAGATTGGATACTTTATGCTGGATAATGCCTCGGCAAATGATACCGCTGTTGAGTTTATACTCAAGGATCTCTGCCCATGGATGAAGTCAAAACAACGTCGTCATCGCCGGCTGCGTTGCTTGGGCCATGTCATCAACCTCTGTTGCCAGGCGTTCCTTATGGGGCGAAACTGTGAGAAGTATCTTGCGAAGCTGGAGAAGCATCATCAACGTGGCGACTATACGAAGGTGGAAGAGCTCTGGAAGAAGTTCGGATGTTTGGGTCGTCTTCACAACCTGGTGCGATACATCAGGCTTACTCCACAACGGCGTGAGGAGTTTGCTACAATTATTATCGGCGGAGATCTTTCGCAATTCGACGGGCTTGAGCTTATCCAGAACAACTCGACCCGCTGGAACTCATGGTTTTATTCGATTACACGTGCATTAAATGTTCGAGAACGTTTAGAGCTCTTCTCGGCTCGTCATGTACCTGGAAAGGGCTCCGTAGGGATCGCGAACTTTAAGCTTGATGGACAGCACTGGTTTGAGCTTGAAAAGATTGAACTCGCTCTCAAAGACTTCTATGCTGCAACTTTGCTTTCTGAAGGTAAGAAGACGTCACTTGCGGACTGGTTTTCAACTTTGGACTGCCTTCTCCGGGAGATAAGCGAGACGAAGGATCACTACCACGACATCCACACTGAGGACGATAACAACTTTACATGGAAGTACCTTCAAGGCTGCGCTGATGCTGCTTGGTTAAAGTGCGTTGAGTACTATAACAATCAGCAGCTGAATTGGCAAAATCGATTCCCTGAAGATACTGACCTTCCACCGACATATTATGCGGCTCAAATCCTTGATCCATATCGCAAGTGGGGATGGTTCAGGCAAGAGTGGGTTCTTCATGGCGACGAAGAGAAGAAGAGGTGGTTTGAAAACGCACAATTAGCGGTGAAGCATCTCTGGGAGACAGAGTATAAGGGAAGGTACCCTGTCGAGATGCTGCCACCACCAGCCAGGAAGGAGAGAGATCCTGACCCAGCATTTGATCGCCAGCGGGAACATAAGCGCATTCGAATAGACGCTCCAGTTTCTACAACTGATTTGTATGAACAATACATCTCTACTGACCGGCTTCATAACGAAGAGGCAGGTTGCAATGAGGCTATTGCGTACTGGCTATCTCGCTACGACTCCCAACGAGATCTCGCTCGCTTCGCTCTAGACATGTTTGCGATCTCGCCTATGTCGGATGAATGCGAACGTCTTTTTAGTAGCGCGAAGCTTACTATCGTCGATCGCCGTGGTAGGCTGAAGGCAGATATTATAGAAGCGTGCGAGTGTCTCCGGGCCTGGTATGGAAAGCCCCAAGCTGAGGGGAACAGCGATATCGAGGATAGTGAGAACGAAGACGACTAGATTGACAGTCAGTAGTAAAACACATTTCCTCGGCTTCCTTCTTTGCTTCAGCCTCATTCTTGGCGGTCTTGTTGGTCGGACCGGTCTGGTCGGACCGGTCCTTATGTAAGCACCTGGTCTGGTCTGGTCTGTACCCTCAGACCAGACCAGACCAGACCATTCCGATCACTGCACCAGGATCACAACCGTCAGTTATATGTTCCGAAGGTCTGTGTGTGTCCATAGGTGGGTTTGGAATTCTGTTTGCAGCTGCACCAGAAGCTAGTTTGCCAGGCGTACTCGCGTTTTCCGCACCAACCGCCTGTCGTACGGTCCAAGACTCTCGAATAATAGATAGAAGGTTCGCTCGATGTGATATCTGGTTATACCGTACCGACCATTGAGATGCTCTTCGAGTTCATCGATAATTCTGTCAACGAATACCCAAGCCCTGTGCGAAATTGGCGAAATGATAGGAAACCAAGCGTGAAAAGTTCCTGCGTCCACCCATGTCGGTCTATATCCATTGAACAGATTCGTATACTTTCCATCTTGGCAATCGAGGTAGAGGCGACTGGAAATTGACACTGTAAACAGCTCAAAGACTTAGTGTGAAAAGCTGAATTAACATGGAATTAGTAGCTAACCCTGAAGCCAGAGCCTATATAAATCAAGTCTCCGTGAGGACGTCATGGTACACACACAGCCTCAGAGTCAAACCAAGCCAGTCTTTTGAAGCCCGTTAGATACATCCAAATATTACACGACGCGTGACATGTTTGCTTTAGTGATGCTAGGAGCACCCTAATAGAGGTTCATCCAACCAAAATGAGTATACCTATTGGCTCCATGAACAGGTCAGCCTATAGTCGTGGCACTCTACTGCAAAACCAAAAAAACACCCAGTGGTTCAAATGGGCCTGTAAGACATACACATATCGTGCGCATGTTCCTTGTCAACATAACAGAGATCACATTGTCTATTATGCAGCAGCACTCGCTCAGCCTGGTAGAACTCCTTACATGCCGCGCGAATCCACTAAATTCGTCTCATGTAGACGTTCTAGCAACAGAGATCAGCTCTTGCAAATGTATTGTGGTAGAGGGATGGCTCAATAGTTAGAAGAGAGTCCGCCGACCCAGAATTAGTAGAGAGTAACTAGAGAACAAGAAAATAAAATTGTCTAGTGAACGAGTGGCTGTCCTCGTCTTTTTATCCTGCCCCCCCTTAAGTACTTTGTTCTTAGCCCCGATTACCTAACGCCGAACGCACGTGACTATCTGCTACACCACATTATATAGCCGTCCGAGTATCAGGAGCCTATCTCCATATTTTAGGATAATCAATTCGCTTGGACGTTACAATGGAGACTTAAAGGGCTTAAACTGCGGCCGAGTTTCATATGAGAGGCGACTAAAGAGCCACGAGGATAGGCTCAGCCCACGATCCGAACAGGTGCGTAGTGTAAAATTTATGCTGCGGAATTATGTAGATGCCTTTGCTTCTGCTTTCGCGTCTTTCTCTCCTTTGATCTTGGCCTGGTATTCCTCCATGTTGGCAATGTCTTCGGGCATTCCGTTCCACATCAGGCCCTGTTCGTCCATGAGTTTGGTTCTAATGTCCATAGCCTTCTTCCAGGACGGCCGAGCGATCATTCTCTCATGCCAATCCTTAACTCGGGGGAAGCTGTCGAATTTGGATTCTATCGGGCACATCAAAACGACATCCAGTCGATCGTTCCAGGGTACAAACGCAAGGTCTGCAATGGTCATCTTGTCTCCCACGAGCCATTCTCTGTCTGTCAGGCTCTGCTCAAGCACACCGCAGATACGTTTTGCCTCCTCAACGTAGCGATTGATAGCTGACGGAAGCTTCTCGCTGTGAAGCACGTGAAACCTGGATTATCACGGTGTAAGCTGAATGGCCAATGCTCGTACTTTTGTCGGCGTACACCTCGACATGGCCTACCAGCTAGCTTGTCCATAGTACGGTCCCTGACCGCTGACCTGGAACATTAACCACTGTTGGACGTGGCTCTTCTCTTGCACAGTCCCATATGTAAGCTTCTTCCCTACATCATACTGTTCGACGATGTACAAGATTATAGCCCCGGTCTCCCACAGCACTAGGTCGGTGTTGGGGTCTTCGATGGCTTCACAAAGTCAGTCGACGTGGTCGTATGTTGGGCTTTGCCGGACGACCATGGCTCACCAGGAACTCGACCGTTAGGGTTGAGGTCGATGAAAGGCTTGGCTTTGATATCCTGGAATGGGATGGACTTGATCTCGTAGGGAATTTGTAATTCCTCTAGGATAAGAATCACTTTCCAGGGATTAGGCCCCGGTGCTGATGCGATTTCATTAGCTGGACAAAAGCTTGCTGTCATTGTGGACTCACGCGCAAGCCACACACGAATAGGTTTTGTAGACATGGTTAGTAGACTCCGCAACAATCAATTCAATCCGGTCACTCTCCTAGACCCACTTACCTATCTAGGTAGGGCTTAAACTCCTATAGGTAACTACTAGGCTTAAAGCGGTAATCAATCAATCCAATCTGAACCTTCTAGGACCCACTTAATTGATTGTTGCGGACTGTGATGGTTAGTGGTGCAGGTTTGAGAGATTCAGTCGAAAATCCGCCGACGGGGTTCCTGAATACATAAGGTGCAAAGCAGACGCAAAAGGAGCGACAGGACGGTCATAGACTGCTTCTGGAGCCGAATGGCAGCGTGTGAGTACTGTACCGTAACTATGGTACTGAATTTCTTTATTTGTATTAGTGCACCAAATTTGGCATTTATCTTGTAGATCGCCGCGTAACGAGATTATTGCCCCTCTGACTTCAGCTACGACAAGGAAGCCCTGGCTCCGATAGAGCGGCACAGCGTCTTGGCATACTGATTGGCAGCAGGCCACTTGTAGCCTAGCTGTAACAACCCGTCTTGCTCCGGAACCGAGAAGCAGTGGGATGCAAGAGACATCCCACGCTAGGCCGCGTACGGGCTAGTTCGCAGGCATGACTACATGCCACATTCTGCTGCCTAAACAGTATTTGTCGACCAACCCAGCTGTGCCGCTATGCGACATTACTGGCGAGACACGAATCTATTTGATTGCTTCCGAAGACTGCAAACACCACACTTTGCACAAATACGCCCATTCTGGTTTCCTCAAAGCTCAACTTTCAAGCCTTGTCGTCCAAGTAACATTGGCTCCAGGTATATTGCAAGTATGACGTCGACCAGCCGCATCGCTGCTCTCGCCAAGCAGATTGAGACACAGACAACCAAGCTCGACAAGTTCTTCACAGAGAGCCAGATGCCTCCGCCTTCATTCGACGAAGATGCCCCATTGATGTATCCGTTTCCACCGGACGTTGCAGAAGCTCAAGAGGCCTTGTCAGCAGCCTTGGACGAGCTGTGGTGGCTCAATCAGGGGCCAATTCAAACTATAGTTGCTAAGTCGGTATGCAATGAGCGACCTTGTTGTGGCTAGGCAGTTTGTTGACCTGAACAGTTTGCCACATCTGTCGGCCTGAAGACCATCCTCAAATACAACATCCAAAACCTTGTCCCCCTCGAGATAGGAACCACTTACAAGGAGCTCGCCGAGAAGACTGGTGTCCCAGAGCAGAAGCTTACACGCTTGCTGAGACATGGCATAACAGATCACTTCTTCCGCGAGACGCAGCCGGGTCACATAAAGCATACTGCTGCCACCAAAGCGCTTGCTGTCATGCCCGTTCTCGGAACGTGGGCCTCAATGGGAATTTATGAGGTCGGACCTGCCAAGATGCGTGTAGGTTTGGGCACATATGGCACTAGGATAAATGCTGACTATGGTAGATGGTTGATGCGATTGCTAAATGGCCAGACTCCGAGGAGCCAAATCATTCCGTCAGTAGCGCTCCCAGCTTGCTTGAAGGACTGACTGACGTGTAATGTAACCAAGGTTTCCAACTCGCCAACGACACAGACAAGACTATGTTCGAGTTCTTCGAGGACTACCCTGAGCGCATGAGCCGCTTCAAAGATGCCATGAGCTTCCTTCAAACGTTCCCGGGCCTGGAACCCTCCTACGCCATCAAGGCCTATGACTGGGCCTCTTTGGGCAAAGCCACCGTGGTTGACGTTGGTGGGTCTCACGGCCTTGTGAGCATCGCTCTTGCAAAAGAATTCCCCGACCTACAATTCGTGGTTCAAGACCTTCCCAAAGTTATTGAAGATGCGAAGACTAAATCGCCACCCGAACTGTCACACCGTGTGACGTTCCAGGCCCACGACTTCTTCGAAGAGCAGCCTGTCAAGAATGCTGACATCTACTACTTCCGCTGGATCCTCCACGACTGGTCCAACAAATACTGTGTCAAGATCCTTCAGGCGCTGATTCCCGCCCTGAAGCCAGGTGCCCGCCTTTTGTTCAGCGAGAGATGCCTCGAGGCACCTTGTACACTGCCCCTCCGTGCGGAGAAGTGGAACAGGTAGGTGCCATATAAAACTGTCATCGTGACTAGTCATTGCTTGTGCGAGTGCCACTGACACGAACAGGGACTCGGACATTACTATGCTGGCCACGTCCAACTCCCAGGAGCGCGACGAGGATGACTGGAAGGCCTTGTTGAAGGCTGCAGACTCGGACTTCACCCTTGAGGAAGTAAAGAGGACTCCGGGCGCGAAGCTGGATATGATTGTCGCAAGGTGGAAGTAATCTATTCCTAAGCATTGCTGTGATGATCAAGCAGCGGAAATCCCATGGATGTGTTGGAAGTGTGATAGGATTAGGAGGCGTCGATCATCCCATACTAGCCGCTTTGCTGCTTCTTCAACAGGCACTCGGTTATTGTAATAGTGTAGCAGCTGCATGCAATGTCATCAGGGTAATGTCATATCCAACTGCCCGCTGCCCGTGTTAAGTGTGTATCTAGTGTGTACCTTGCCACGCGAATCGCTCGTGCCAGGATGGTCAAGTTACAATGTTGTGTAGAGATTACTTCATGGGGATCATCAGACCAGTTACGCTGGTCCTGTCCAGACGCCTGCTTGTACAACGTGACATGGTTTCCAACAAGCTTTCCAACGGTAGAAATGAGAGGGACATTCACCCTGCCTTGCCCCGCGGCACAATCCTGAACGGCACATGCACCTTTGGATAAATCCCATGCCCAAACCCCATGCCCTCATAAAGTGCCCTCATCGCCCGCTCCCTCGATAGCTCCTCCAACTGTGGCGTCCCATGCCCCGTCGGTCCCTCCGCTTTCAGCACATCCGCCGGGTCCGCCTCAAGCCGCAGCGAAAACTGGCTGAAGACCCGCGCCAAGATGGCGCACATCTCGACCTCGGCAAAGCGCTTGCCAGGGCACATGCGGTGGCCGGCGGAAAAGGGGAAGGCGGCCGCATTATCGGTGGGATTGAGCCAGCGGACAGGATCGAAGTCACGTGCGGGGGACTGTTCTATGCTGGTGTCATCTCCGGGGGAGGTTGAAGGGGACCAGTAGCCGGGATGCCGCCCGATGGCTGCAACGTCGATAATAATGATGGTTTCCTTTGGAATTCGACAGATGGCGCCGCTGGCGGTGGTGACGGTTGTGTCGCGGACCGTCTTGCGGGCGTACCACGCAACGGGGTGGTAGAGACGCAGGGTCTCGCTGATAACGGCGCCAAGGTAGCCGTTGAGGAGTTCGGGAACGTCCTTGTTGGCGTCCCACGCGGATGTGGCTCTGGAGCCGAGGACACGGTCGAGATCCTGCTGTAGCAGGGTTTGGGCGGAGGGGTAGATGGCCAGAAGGAGAAAGACGAAGGAGAGCGTGGTGGAGGTGGTGTCAAAGCCAGCCATGACGTAGAAGAACATGTTGCCTAGTACCTCTGCTTCAGTCAGGGGGCGGATGCCGTCGCGGCTGGACGCGGCGTCGCTTGAGATGACGAGGGACTCTGTGATGTTTCCTCAGTATCGTCCGAAGTAGGAGTTAAAACTCAATACATGTGCAATAACGCAGAGCGAGTCTGCCTCGTTAGAAACTTACCTAGGAAATAAGGCTCTTCCTTCTGTTTCGCCGAATCAAGTCGTGATTGCACCGAGTTCCGCATCTCAAGCATGTACTGTTGCCATTCCACGAAGCCCTGATACGCCTTCTTGTGCGACTCAAACGGCGACCTGGCTACACCTTTCGTTAGCCAGGGGTCAAGCGATATTACAATGAGGGCCGACCCACTCACCTAGCAGCCACTTGGGTATGCTGAAAACGGTTGCAAGATTCGACAGCACGGCATTGATGGCCTCGCTGAACGTCAGCACGTGCCCCACAGGCGCAACGTCCTTCATCGCATTTTCCGCATCGTACCGCAGCTCCTGGTCGTAGAAGATTTTAGCGATGATGCGCAGGTTCAGCTTCGACATGAGCTGTTCCTTGACATCCGCAATCTGCGCGTCGTCGTTCCCATGGCTCCACTGTGCTGACAGGCGCTCGGTCTTCTCCAGACTATCCTTCCAGACTTTTCCGTACGTCTTCTGATTGAAGAAGGGCGTCGTGATCCTCCGGTACAGGCGCCACTGCTCGCCCTCGCTCGCGGCCAGCGTCGGACCGTAGATGTTGTAGAGCCCGAGAACCTCGACGGGGGCGTGAAAGTCGTGCGCGCGCATCAGCACCTGCTTGACGAGGTGCACGTCACAGGTCATGAGCATGGGGCCGGAGGGTGAGCAGAGGAAGAAGGAGTCAGTGCCGAGGTCGCGGAAAATGGAGTAACCTGCTTGCCAGATGCGGAAGATGGCCGTCCATCTGGGGGAAGATTCTGGTCAGTACGTCTTGTACGATGATAGGAATACAACTGATCAAGCTTACGGTGCCCATTTTTGTAGAGTTTTCATGGATATCGAACCGTCCAGGGCGACGATCGGGGTGAGTAGAAACCAGTACGCGACGTTCATGACGTGAACTCTGCCACCTCTGTTAGCATTTTCAAGTTCAAGACAATACTACACATTGCAAAGTTCCACGTACGGAGAAAGGCAGTACCGCAGCCCGCTGGCTCTAGCCTGCTGCACCTGCTTGCCCAAATTCCAACACAACATCAATATCTGCGAGGAAGTGTAGGTCACAACGGCTAGCAACGCCGCTTGGAAGATGGAAATCATGGCGGAAGAATATGGGACAAAACAAAGTCTGGTGCTACCTAGTTCTCCAAATTTGGATGTGACGAATGTCGGAGCGGGGGTAGGAGCTTATTCAAATAGCCTAATGCCCTGGCGGCCTAGCCTAGTGTTGTGCTGGTGCACGAGGGTACTAGACAGATCCACAACAGCGGGCGTAACACAAGCATTCCCGATATATAAAATAACGAGAGATAATTATCGTCACGTGCACTCGAAATATATAAACTCAAGTGTACTTTCACTCTACAACAAACAGTATCCACTCAATTCCCCAAGACCCTCTGCGCTCCCACAGCACATCACCGTACCCCTACACCTTCTGCGGCACCAACTGCGGCACCAACCGCGGCACCAACCGTACCGGCAGTTCCTTGCGCAGCTCAATCAGCAAATTGCACTCGACCTCATCCACCAGCATCTGCAACGCCTGCTCCTGCGTCCGCTCCTTGACCCACTTCTCGTCCGCACCCGTCCTTGTCGCCTCCTCCTCCACCGCGTGGGACGGCACCAGCTCAATGCTAAAGTGTGTGAAAATATACGCCAGTACGCCCACCATCATGATAGAGCCGAGGCTCTTCCCCAGGCACGCACGCCCGCCGAGGCCGAAGGGGAAGTACGTGCGCAGCCCAACCTCGGACGGTTTGGTGATCTTGTCCGCAAAGCTGTCCCAACGGCTTGGATCGAAATCTAGCATCGGATGGTACTTACCTGTTGCGGGGTCGTTGGCGGTGGGGCCCGCGGGCCAGATGCTGGGGTGGCGGAAGGCGGCGGTGAAGTTGAGCAGACACAGCGTATCGCGGGGGATAGTGAAGTGATTGCCGTTGAGGTCGGTAACAGATGCTTCAGCAGTGCACCGTCGCGGGATGAACTCGACGACGTTGTACAGGCGCATGGCTTCCTTGAGCACGGCGCCAGTGTAGCCGTTGTAGAGTCGCATGAACTCGTCCGTAACGGACCAGGTGTCTATGGGCTTGCCTCCGAGCTCAGCGTCGAGGTGGGCGTGCAGATCCGCTTGGATGTCCTGGCGGATGGCAAGGAGGAACATCATGAAGCCCAGCGTGTTGCCTGCGGTACCGTGACCTGAGAGCAGGAAGAAGAAGACATTGCCAGTCAACGTCTCGCGGTCCAGGACTTTGCCATTCCTTTCAGCCGACTCGGGCCGCGTGCTGGCGATCAGGGTATCTGAGTATGGTGAGTCGAAGTGCAGCTATTTGCTGTGCATCATGAACTCACCCATGATGCTTATGTCTGTGTCTTTCCGATCAGTTGCATCCTTTTTGAGCGCCTCGTCGCATATCTCCGTTATATAACTATGGAGATCATGGTAGGCTTTGTCAGCTCGTTTGATGCTTTTCAAGGGGATGTACGCTAAACAGATCAGACGAGTTATATCATGACCGGAACATTCAGAGGTGAAACAAGGGCTTACCGCGCAACGACTTGGGGATCGAATCTATAATGCCGAGCTTGTCAATGGTAGTGAACATGGCCTCGACGAACCCGAATCGCCCCTCAGGCAGCTCGCGCGAGGGAAATTCCTTGATGGTCTCGTACTCGAGGTTCTTGTTGAAGAAGCACTGTGCGATGCAGTGCAGTGAAATCTCCGACATATGGTCCTTCATATGGCTGATGACGGGGCCATCCGCCGTCATGAGCGCCGTCAGTCTTTCAGCCTGAAGCAGCGAGGACTGCCACATGGCGGCATTCGAGTGAGAACCAATGGCCGGGGCGACCATCTTGCGCTGGGCCTTCCAGTTGTCGCCGAGGGAGGTCTGCATGTTGGGACCGTACGTGTCGAAGAAGCTGAAGTACTCGACAGGCTTGCGGAAGTTCTTGGCCTGGTTCGCGATCTGGTTGATGGTCTCTGGGTCGCTGCTCCAAAGCATATTGCCGTTGGGGGAGGAGAGCATAATGTTGTCGCTTCCCAGCTGCTCGAAGGGTTCATGGCCGACATGCCAAAGGTGGAAGATTTTGCTCAGGCTGGGGTTTTGTTAGTAGGTCATGTGTGGAGAGTAGGGAGGTTTCTCACGGCAGCCATCCGCTGGTCCACGCAGCAGAGAGGTAGTTGAGCCATGGCACCAGCTTGGGATACAATCCTAACCACCACAGGTCGATCAGATGCACGCTGTGTCTGTCAATAAATCGTCTCAGTAAACCATAAGAAAGAGATAGCTCACGGTGACTTGCGGACCACGAAGCCACTGCTCCGAGCCGTATAGATATGGTTGCTCCATGTGACCAATTTCTTGGCAGTTAGTGCGAACAGCAGCAGGCCCACGATGACAATGAAGCGAAGCATGTTGATTCACAATTTATCTATTGGTTTGGCATGCAACGGTGTGCTCACTATGTCATGCAGAGGAAACTTCTGCTCGTTATGATAGCAGATGGGTTCGTACAGTGAACAAAGGTAGGCTAACCCTCCAGTGACAATGATGCACATTCTCACTACCATGATTTTCTTTAGACATCCGGATATGGCAGCCAAGATTCGGAATCATAGAGTGGTGTCTCAGTGTCTGCAGAATAAGTGCCGTCGAGGGCCAGCCGGGGGTGGCTCAGCTGACGTACGCGGTCGAGGGCCGGCGCCCAGCGAGAGATGAGACGGTCCTGGTTTCGATGGAGGAAGCGCTCAACCCAGCTCATTGAGACTGGGTCACCACAGATTTCTAAGCTAAAGGTCTGGATCATCTCTCTCGTAGGAGGTAGTCCTTATATATAGAGCTCCTCTATATACTGTACAAGCTCTAGCTCTTGTTGTGGTAGCAGAGCTTGCTTCATCCCATCACTGGTGGTTTTGTCGCGTGAGACGCCGCGCCATCTTCGGGACAGCGCACTGCGACTACAACCAAACTTGTCGGCAACTTTCTGGTATACAAATTGTTCTCCTGGCTTTAGCGATTCTAAATATTTAATCGCTTTATCAATAGCGGTCATATTGGTGGAGTTGCGACGTGTTGAAGTTTGTGGGTGGTCTGGTGTTCTGGCGTTCGGCGTGCGCGGCCCGAGAACGTGCGCAACCCGGGTGGGGACTCTACCCGCCTGTTAAGCGCCACCTACAATCTAGTCTCGCAACGTAGAGCACGGCTTTGATGGATTGCATCTCGAAATAGTACACGCCGCCATTAGACAATAGTATCCTTGGTGCAAAAGAGAGGTAGGTGGTCTGTGCTTAGAGCCATCGCGATAGAGTTGCGCGACTTACACTAAACCGTTTCGCAACTTCGCGGTAGGAGAAAGAAAGATGCGCTGGTTTCACGCGATTCGATTCCTTTGATTGCAGCCTCAATGATGTCTAGATTGGTGTAGTTATGTCGCGTTGAAGTTGTGATGATATGTGTGTTTTGAGGGTGGGTGGTGAACTGGCTCATTGGGCGCACGGGCACTCTACTAAGCCCATGTGTTGGAGTGGGTGAACCGTACGCATAGGGAAGAAGTTGAGGATTGACTTAGGTTCTATTGTAGACGCTATGGAAAGTTTATGTAGGTGAATGACCATAAACAGCGCTAGTCTCAGATAGGCATCGTCCCATCACCAAACCCTGACACCATGCCTTTTACCTTACCTCGTCTGTCCGCCATCCCAATCTAAACATTAACCACCATGACCTGCTACTAAAAAGTATTCACCTCAGACCTATCAAGAGCTATTAGGACACGCTCTCTGCAAGTTTATCTATGTTTAAACTCGCGAAGTCGCTCTTTCGAAGGCAACCATGGCCCCAACTCAAATTTCCGACATCTGATTTCAAAGTCGTCAGCGACGGGGTATTGTTTGAGGAAGAACAGCTTGAGGAGTTTCACAGGGGCATCTACTATCCTGTCAACATAGGAGATGTCTTCGCGTCGAAGTACCAAGTAGTAGGCAAACTTGGTTTCGGTGTTACGTCAACTGTTTGGCTGGCCCGTGATCTACAGCAAGTTGGCATTCGGTAACTATACTACCTATACTAACAGCAAACCAGCCGCCATGCCTATACTACGTTGAAAGTTTTCACAAGAGAGGGAATGGATGAGGATGAGTACAACATGTACAATATCTTAAGCAAAGGCAATGCTTCGCATCAAGGATACAATCACGTCCGGACAGCCCTCGACTTGTTTACCATTCCCCAACAAGGTGGCGATCATCGATGTCTTGTCCAGAAACCAATGTGGGATAGTTTCAGGGATCTCTTGAACAGAAACCCCGCGCACCGCTTCACGGACGAGCTGCTAAAAGCTGGGTTGTCGCAAGTGTTCCTCGCACTTGATTACCTTCACACAGAAGCCAAGATCATACATACAGGTACGGCCTAACACATATCTTCCCGCAATTCTGTTGACAAGAATGTAGACATCAAATCCGACAACATCCTCATAGAAATCGAGGATCAGGGCATCTTGAAAGCCTTTGTTGACGCCGAAATGACATGTCCCTCGGCTCGAAAAGTCGTAGATGCCAAGCCAATCTATGCGACACGACAGTTTGGATTGCCGAAAGAGTATGGTCGTGTTGTCCTTGGAGACTTCGGCTCTGCAGTTCGTGGCGACAAACCTCAGATCCATGACGCGCAACCAGATGTCTACCGATGTCCAGAGGTTATTCTGAAGACTGAATGGGGTTATCCAGCTGATATCTGGAACGTTGGAGCGATGGTATGTACCGTCTTAAGCCTGAGGCGAAATCAGACATTGACCGAGGTGCACAGATTTGGGACCTATATGAGGATAAACACCTCTTTTACGGCATCGATCCAACCGAAAAGCGATACCTGACCAGAGCTCATCTCGCGGAATTAGTCGCCATGCTCGGTCCGCCGCCGATGGATATGCTAGAGAGAGGAGCGCGGAGCAAAGAATTCTTCGACGGTGAAGGTGAGACTGCGCTCCCAAAGTACCGTCTGAAGCTAACCGAAGTTCTATTTAGGGAATTGGATAGCAGAGATAGACATACCGCAAGGCTTGACGTTGGAGTCGTCGGAAGAGAATCTAGGTGGAGAAGAGAAAGAGGATTTCTTGCAGTTTGTGAGGTGCATGTTGCAGTGGAGGCCGGAGGATCGATGGACCGCAAAGGAGTTGCTTGGACATCCTTGGATGAGAGGGATCTTGTAGTCAAGTCAGGTTGAGCACAAGTATCAAACGACTCCAAGATGGATAGTCTGAAGCTAGAAGCGTGGCTCGAAAGCTCTTGTTGCACGACTTTGGTGAGTCGCGGGTTAAGCTTAGACGCTAGATTCTTGCTGCTGGCTGTTGTGCCGACCTGATCAGGCATTTCGACTGGAGAGGCTTGGCTCTGGATTGGTTGGTCGTCAAACATAATTGGGAAAGTATCGTTCATTATTCCGGTCGCAGCCTCGTTTGTCAAAACTGTTTCCCGCTTTTGGGAAGGAGAAAACAGTAGATTGAAGCATAATTGGGCTGACCACTTTTTGACGGATCGGACAGGTGAAATAGTTTTCAGTGTCCTATGGTCGTGTGTGAATGATGATGTGTGTAATTTGATTCTTATCCGTAGTCGCACGCCTGCAGATTTTTTGGGGTCGTGATTGATTGATTGATTAATTTGAGGTCTTTTTGGGCGTCCGAGTGATTGATTGATGGATTGATTTATTGTTGACTAGTCTGCCTGCAGCAGATAAAGGAGTAAAGAGGAAGAGGATGAAGTGAGGGATAAGGGTATGTGATGTGGTATGATTGGTTGGTTGACTAAGCGTGGGTGAGAAGGAGAGGGAGATGGTGCATGGTGTGGGGAGTGGGGAGTGGATAATTGCGACGACGAGATTGAATCTTGTACGCATCTTCATCGCGATAACTTCGTTCCTTCCCCCAATACGTGTCAAGAAGCAATCCATTGGTATTCAGACGTCACTTCCTGAAGACACATATCCTGCAGTCGAAATATGGTACCCCTACTCCCGTCGACGTAAGGAGCCTCAACATTACTGCCGCTGCACGTGAATAACTTCAACGTTGCCGTAACTTCGCGATATCAAGACGACCTCTCAGCCTTCGTGAACTGTTTTTTTTTGAGAAAAGCGGACGAAGAGGGTAGATGTGTGGGTAGAGATGAGGTAATTATGATGCAGGTGCAGAAGGTGTGGGACCCTGACCCGTTATTTCACCGTCCTGCGAACGTAGATTCTATCGCAAATTGTGTGGCTGCGTGCTTTTTTGAGAGATTTGTAGGTGTTTATGGGTGAGTGATTAGGAGGGAGAGGTGTGTGGTTCGTGGTGTAGAGTCGACTTGCATTGGAGAAGTTCCGCCCTGCAAAGATGTCGATATCGCATCTAACTACCTATCAAATATTTGTTGAAAATCAGCAAGGGTCTATCAAAAAAATGGTTCAGAAGTTGTAACAGTCTTTGAGCGAAAACGAGACACTCGTTGGCAGTGCTACGACTGTCCGCATGATGGCTTGGATTTCATCCACTTACTACACGCTCTACGAGCAGCTCAAAGACACCATCTAGCAAAACTGACCTAACGCATAGCATGTTCTCTACAAACACACTCATCGTTCCTGCTCATGGCCGGCAAGATGGCAACTCCGCGCTTCGGCCTTATACTTGGTCCAGGGCGCATCTAGTGAACCCTCGAAGACCCTAAAAATGACACCATCGAGACAAATCACCGCATGTGATTGTATAATAATTACCAGATTGGAAGGCCGCGACTCCAGACCCATATATCCTTGGATTTAAAACGGACAATCCCATCATAGATGACTCAACAATCTCCACTGACCTAAGCGTTACACCAGACTCCGCAACAATCAATCGATTGACATGATTGATTCCTATATAGGTTAAAGAATTACTTCATTAGGCAGCCTTTAACCTAGATAGGAATCAATCATGCCGATCCGATTGATTGTTGCGGAGTCTGCGTTACACCATCAACCACCCCTAAAGACCCCGGGAGTTACCTGATGAATAGGAATTGTGGCGCACAATCATTTTATAACCGCCAAACTGTTAATCACGCAATAAACGCACATCCCGCTATCCCTCTCGCTCTTACCATATAAAAGCCCCCTATCCCCCTCACCCTCCACAAACCTCGTCCAACACCAAACAACCAAGTCCAAGCCGTCTAATACAACCACTTCCAACACTGTTCAACCACTTCCAACACTGTTCAACAACTACCAACCCACCACCAACACCAAGCCCAACACCCACACACCTACCACATCAATGAGACCAACCACCCTCCCCCTCACCTTCACCCTCCTCCTCACCACCACAACCCTCGCCATCGACAAAGTCTCCTACCCAGAAATCTACCCAACCTACGGTGTCCAACCTTATCCGCTTCCAGATTTTGATGCAGAAATGGGTACATCTGGTCACCGGCGTCGTGACGCGAGCGCAGCGAATGAAGTGAACGCAGTGAGCGGCGTGAATGGAGTGAACACGGTAAATGGGGTTAATGGAGTGCATACAATAAATGGAATCAACTGGGAGGATTTTGTAGCTCCACCTCCGAAACATACGTACACGCTTAAAGGACGGAAGATTGTTGTTGATAGGATTATTGGGGAGAGGAAGGGGTATGTGGGGAAGGAGATGAGGGAGAAGGAGTAGAGGGTTAGGGCTTAGAGGGGCTGGTGAGTGGGATTTTAATCTTTAAGGGGGAGAAGAGTTACGTACTGACGTGTGGATGTTAGAGTCGATCTCAACACCGCAAGCTTTCCCAACAAGCATTTCCCAATGATGGCATCTATACCGAATCTACCCACCCATCGTACCTACACGCCACACACTACACCTACAATAGCAATTTGAACAGGTCGACCACACCTGAATACCGCTACTTCCTGGTATGTACCTGGAGTTTTGCAACCCCCCACCCCCCCCCCCCCCCCAAAAAAAAAGAAACCAGAAAAAGAGACGGATAAAAACACTGGGTGTCTTTACTTGCAACGCAGCAATCTCCAAAAACCTCGATTACATCTAATCACCGGGACTTCCTTGTGTGCACCGATGGACATTGAAGACCCCCCCAAAAAAAATTGAGAAAAAGATGTTATAAATATCACCATACTTGTATAATTAGCTTCTAGTTCTGATAAGTATAATGTTCAATACTATAGGGGCCTCTATTGCGTTAAGCTAGCGTTTAGCTATAACTAGTAAGCTTATCGCACATACAGACTCCTGGTCAAACTGAGCACAACAAAAGCGCTCTAATCCTGCGCTACCAAGACACTTTCTCGATAATCCACTTCAGTTATGTTTCTATTGCTAGGCCCTGTACTTTGCTAGACTGATCTATCCCCCACTAGCACGGCGATCTAAAACGCCATAATCATCGCTCCGCGCTTGCAGGGACATTTGAAACAAACACCGAGAGAACAGCAGCGTACCCAGCAGATACCGCCATCATCTCGAAGCTCGACACCTTCAGGGAGAGCGACACAAGGAAAGACAAGATAATAATGCATACCGAAACAACTATCAGCTGGATGTTTTTTGACGACTCGTGCGACATGATAGCTAGCGGTGCAATAATAAAGACAGCCGTTAACGCTGCAGTCGTCACACGTCCGATGACCTCGGCTATCAGTATCGTGTTCTGGTACGACCACCGCTGCTGTCTGCCAGAGACCGAGCCAAGGCCTTCGCTGTTGCTTCTAGCCTTTCGCGACAGCCTCCAGTACCGGAAGGCCCGCAAGTACTTGTGGAGCCAACGCTGGAACGGGTCGGTCCGCGATCGTGTCCCTAGGTCCACCCTAAGTAGCCTGGTCTTATGTGCTTCGTCTAGGCTAAGATCGTCCCGCAGACTAGCGTGTTGCTCGTCGTCGAGAAGTGAAAAGGTCTCCATAGTCATGATGTTGTTAAAGGCAGCAAGCGCTTCGTCTGTGTGGGCGGCACCTGTTAGCGTAAGGCGTCGGAGTAGAGCTGCTAGCACACACTGTACTCTTTGATAAGATGACGCAGCTTCGAGATAAACTCTCGGGTGATTACATCATTAACCTTTGGGACATCGGCGTCCCTCTTGCTGTACTGCAGGCCAAGTCGGTCGCCTGGTGAAGGGCTCAGACCAAGGCTAAGACCAGCTTGGTAGATGGTGTGGTCCATGTCGGCGATCTCGTTCTCAAGGAATCGGAGGTTGAGCAATTGCGTAGTCTTGAAACGACGGAAGCCGTGAGCGTGAGATTGTTGTCCGCAGTGCTAGCAACCCAGCATTTGCGAAAGGCATCGACCGAGCTTGTACGGGCCCAAGGGTTCGTGAGTTGGGGTGAAGTAGACATGACGGTGATGATGCAACGAACGTAGAGCT